GACTAATAATGACTACTCCTATTTGTTTAGTTCTTTAGGGTCAGAAAGCTTTTATCAAACTGGTACCTAGTTGACTGTTCTTTCCAAAACATGAGCAGGAGTGGTTAAACCACATGTATCTATAGTACCAAATAGCTGGTTTTTAGCATTCACTTTTTGCTTTGGCTTTTGTTGTAGCTTTTAAAAAAAGTTGATAGTAAATAATGAAACAATCACAGCATCATAGATCTAGATCTTCAAAGAACCTTAGAGAGACCTGGTCCTCAGTCACATCTGGTCTAATCTCTTTGTTTTGTAGATAAGGGAGCTGAGGACAAACTTTAGTCCCTGAAACATCCTAGTCACTTGCCTCTGGATGTTCTCTAGTTTATTCTTTTCTTTATTTTGGAAGGCAATTGGGGTTAAATGACTTGCCTAGGGTCACACAGCTAGTAAGTGTCAAGTGGTGGGTCTGAGACCGGGTTTGAACTCAGGTCCTCCTGACTTCAGGGCCAGTGCTCTATCCACTGAGCCACCTAGCTGCCCCCTACATAATGCTTTTCTTAATGCAGTCTAAGATTGCGTTAACTTCCAGTAGAATGGAAGCTCTTTAAGACTGGACTTACTTTTCATCTTGTCTGTGTTTCCTTGGTGCCTAGTACAGTACTTTGCACATGCTTAACAAATAATTATTGAGGGGCAACTAGGTGGCATAGTAGACAGAGCACCGGCCCTGGAGTCAGGAGGACTTGAGTTCAAATCTGGCCTCAGACATTTGACACTTACTAGTTGTGTGACCCTGGGCAAGTCACTTAACCCCACTGCTTAGTTTAAAAAAAAAGAGAAAAATTTGTTGAACTGAATTAATTTGGCTTCTATATACCGCTGTTGATTTACACTGAATCCACAAAAGACACTCAGTTTGGATTTCCATCAAGTTGTTCTTGTGGTTAATTCTACCTCTTTATTTTTTTCTTAATGCCCTTGAGATTATAAGAATCCATATAAAATCTTAGTTGGACCAGATGACATATCCCATGGACATTTACGTGCAAGACATAACTCTTTATCTTTTCCTCCCTCCAAACCTCCACCCTGCCCAACTTCTCTTTATGTTAAGAACACAGTCAGAGTTATCTTCAACTGTTCCCTATCCCTCTTGTACAAACAGTTGCTGAGGTTTGTATCTTGCAGTATTTATCCACAATATGTCTTGCACTTGACTGATTCACTCCATTCATATGGCCACCAGCTTAGTTCAGGATGTTATCACCTCTTACCTGGCCTATTGCAATAGACTCCTAATTGGTCTTTCCTTATCTAGATTAATTGTTCTCAAATCCATCCTCTATACAAAACTGCCAAATTGATACTCACAATGTCTGACTATACATTGACTGCTCTGCTCAAGAAAGTCAGGTGGTTCTTGCCTCTAGTCTTAAGATGCCAACTCTTTTTTTTTTTAAATCCTTAGCCATCTGATACTAGCCTACCTTTCCAGGCTTCCTCCCGATGTCTTTACCTTCTGTCTACTCTATATGTATCTTGTAAAACCTATTTATATGTTTGTCTTAATAGAAGGTATTTTTTGAGGGCAGGGATTGTTTTTGCCTTTCTTTGTTTCCCCAGTGCTTGACAAAATGCTGGCATATGGTAAGTACTTAATAAATTCATTTTAATTGAGTGATTGATGTATTGGTCATCATTTTCCTTTACACACTTTATAATCCAGCAAAAGTAGCCCATTTTTGCCATTCCCTGTACAGGACATTCCATCTCCTGGCCAGTCTCTGAGTCTTTGCAAAAGATATCCTTCCATTCCTGGAATACACTCCTTCCCCCACCCCTGAAAATTAAAACATTTTTATTTTTTCAATCAGCAAAAATTTGCCTTCTGATTCTCCATCCCACAATATGAATGAAATAAAAGCAAAATCCCTGCTGCAAGCATGTATAGTCAAGGAAAATAAATGTCCACATTGACTGTGTCGAAAAAACAATATGTCTTATTCTGTACTCCCAGTCCTTCACCAAACTCTACCATTTGGGTAGCATGTTTCATCATTTGTTCTCCGGAATTGTGGTTGATTATTGCACTGAGCAGAGTCCCTAATTCTTTTGGTGGTGTTTTCTTTACTACGTTATTGTCATTGTATAAATTGTTCTCATAGTTCTGTTTGCTTCACTCTGCATCAGTTCATTTAAGTTTTTTGAGGCTTTCTTTGAAACTATCCCCTTCATAATTTCTTACCCATAACTTTTTCAGCCATTCCCCAATTTACCACTCTTTGCCACATCAAAAAGAGTTATAAATATTTTTGTAGATTCATAAAGTTTATTTTTGCTTAGGACTAATCCTTAATCTTCTCTCCCTCTAACTCCCCCTTCTTCCTTTTATTTCTGTACCTAAGTCTCTCTGTGTATGTATTTTTCCTCCTTGATCAGTTTAGATGAGAGTGAGGTTCAAGTGTCAGAAACCCCACTTGAACACCTCTTCCTTGTCTGTATAAATGTCTACTTGCATACCCTTATGTGAGATAATTTTCCCTAATATACCTTTCCTTTCCCCCATCCCCACTGCTTCTCCTTCCCTTTCTTTTCATTCTTCTCTTAAGATAATAAAAAAAAATAACAGAATCACTCCCAAGCTTTGTCTAACTAGATTTCCTCTATGATCCTTGATGATGACAGAGTTTAGAAGGCATATGTATATCATCTCTCCATACTTGAATGTAAGCAGTTTATCATTATTTAATCCTTTATCATTGTTCATTTATATTGATCATTTAATGTTTCTTCCAAGTTCTCCAACCTTTTATGGTGGTGACTGCCAAATTGTATGTAATCCTATTTGTGATTTCTCAATACTTTCTTTCTGGCTGCTTGTGGTATTTTTATGATAAAATTCTGGAAGCTCTGGATTTTGGCTATGATGTTCTTGAGAGCTTTCATTTGGTGGTTTTCTTCAGAAAATCTTTTTCTTTCCACTTTGACCTCTGGTTCTAAGAAATCTGGGCAGTTTTTGTTTAAGATAAGATGTCTTGAAATATGATGTCTAGGCTATTTTTTGGTCATTGCATTCAGAGAGCCCAATAATTCTTAATTTTTTTTCCCTCCTCAATCTTTTGCAGGTTGTTTTTTTTCTCTATGGGATACCTTACATTTTCTTCTATTTTGTTTGTGTGTATTTCTTTTTTTAGCCTTTTGACTTAGTTTTAATATTTCTTTTTGTCTCATGAAGTCATTGGCTTCTATTTGGTCTATTCCAATTTATTTAGACAAGGTTTTATACTTGTACTAAGCTGTTAATTTCCTTTTTAATTCTTTCTTCCATAGCTCTCATTTCTTTTTAATTACTTTTTTTACTCCAGCACTCTTTTCATTGATAAAACCATTTTTTAACCCATTAATGAACCTCTTGCTTCATCTTTTCTAGGAATTCTAATTAGAATTTTTTTTTTAGGCAATTGGGGTTAAGTGACTTGCCCAGGGTCACACAGCTAGTAAGTGTCAGATGTTTGGTCTGAGGCCAGATTTGAACTCAGGTCCTCCTGACTTCAGGGCCAGTGCTCTATTCACTGCACCACCTGGCTACCCCAAATTCTAGTTAAATTCTTGGCTAAGCTATGTTTTGTGGCATTGCTTGTCGATATTTGGGAGTCACGATCTTCTTCTGTGTTTGTGTCTTAGGTATCCCTATCATCATAATAGCTTTTTATGATGGTATTATCCTCATTTTAAGAAGAGAAAGTTGAGGTTGAGTGGTTAATTGCCCTCCATCACAAAGCGAGTAGTCAAAATTTGAACTCAGGTTTTCCTGATTTCAATACAACATTCTATCCCCGTTCCCACCTTTGCCTGACTTAATTTCATTGTCTGACACGTAATAGGTACTTAGTCAATCAACAAGCATCTATTATTTGCCAGAAATTTTGCTGAATCCAGGGAATGGAAACAAACACAAAACCAAAAATGTTTTTGAATTGAATTTTAATTTAATCAGTAAAATATATTGGTAGTTCCTTTTACTATTTGTGACACTAGCTGTGCATTTAGTCACTGGTAGAAATAATTGATTTTTCTAACCTTCAGTTTTATTGTCAAACATGGGCATTTGTGCCTCTCTACTCCTTGCTGCAGAAGAAAATTAAGAAAACTAGTCAAAGTCTCCAGACTTTGTCTTTGTTACTAAATATGCCTCGGTGAGCAAAAGAAAAAAAAAGATCTTCCTTTCCTTTATTATTTTCTTTGAGCAGGAAAGCAAATATCACATTCAGTTGCATTAAACAAGCTTTTGTCAAGTCTCCCTTGCTGGCTAGGCATTGTGCTAAGTAACTGGGGATAGGAAGACAAAAGACTATTCAGACCATCAGAAGGGAATATAAATGATGGGTGGAAAAGTCTCATTTATTCACATATTTAAGAAAATACTTGTTCTTGGACACAAAGGGAAATACTGAATGGAAGGTTAGCCTTAAAAAAAGAACAAATTCCTACCTAAATCACAAACTGTGAAGAGAATACTCTAAGGTTTGATGTCTTACATTTGGATAGTACTTTGCAGCCTCTCATTTGGACCTCCTCATAATCCTGTGCAATAGAGAGGGTAGCTATCCATTTCCCTCATCTTATAAATGGCTGTTGAAACTGGGATCTCAAGTGATTTTGCTCCAGTACACCCAGGAAAAGCTAGGTGCTGTATTTATTCTTTTCTTTGCTGCAATAATTTCATTATGTTAGGCATAGAATTCAAAGCATTTTGGAGTTAAGTATTATTTTAATCCTGGAAATAACTTGAGGAATTTACTTTGTTTTGTCTGTGATCTAGAAGAAGGAAATGCATGATTGATAAGGAAAAATCCCAGGGAAATAGAAGATTTAGGAAGGAAGCATTATCCCCTTAAAGCTATATTTGTCTTCCATAAAAAAATGTCAATTGTTATTTCATTTTCCTTAGCCTGGAACTTAAATAGTCCTAAGCTTAAGTCATTGTGAATATTCAAAAGATGATTATTTTCCAGAGGTAAAAATGGTAACAGCTCAGGAAGAAGACTTGCAGCTGCTTCTTGAAAAATTTCTTGAAGATAAAGAGAACAAGCAAATAGAAGAAGAATTGAAACAACTAATAGAAGACCCAAAAAATGACACACAAAAGGTACAAGTATTAATTTAGAAAACTTTTATAAGTTAATCAATTTGGCTTCATTGCCAGTTTTGTATCTATTTTCTGAGAACCTGTCCTTTCAGAAATGTGATAGTTTGTAACACTTTTAAAAAAGACATATATCCATTTAGTAAGATTCAACCAATATTTATTAACCAGATTTGTTGTGTAGAGGGTACTGGTTCTAGGTTATGGGAGAGATACAAAAATTAAGTAACAGATTCCTTGATCTTATGGAGTTTACAGTTAGCTATAATGCAAAATAGAGCATGATAAATTCATGAGAAGCACAAAGTGCTATGCAAGGCCCAAGGGAAGAAAGAGAATTTCTGATAGCAAATTCTCCAGGTTGGCACTATACTAAATACTTCATTATGGTAAGCATTTTGCTTAATTTAAAAAAAAATTGATTCTATTTGTTCTTTCCACCATTTTCCAGATCATTGATGAAATGATAAAAACAAATATTGAGCTAAAGATGAAGAGTAAAAAGCTTGAAACTGAGTTGCAACGTCCTTCATCTTATCTGGTAACTTTGTATTTAAATGTTTTATGTACCAATTTTTCAGTCAATACCTTTTTTTTTGAAAGAAAACTCTTTTAGGTTTGTTATACAAAAATCCACTTTAAAAACATGCTAATTATTATTTTAAGTCTCATTTCAATATATGCTAAATGATTTGTGGCTAAATGTTAACATTTCATGATAGCTGACATTTTTAATCCAGTTTGATGCAGTGAGTTCATTCATTGATGAAGTATAGCTTAAATTTAGTTCTATAAAAAACAATGAGCATATATTTAACTAGATTGAAACATGGATACAATTTTAATCTTTCCTATTTAAATTTTCTCAGCAGGACTTTCTACTAATAAGGGAAAAAACCCTTTATTTAAAGCATTAGTTTAATAATTAGAACTGTTTCATTTCTGTTTCCTGTGTGTTGGGGATATGGGCTATTATAGCAAGAGAAGTTCCTTCCTTCCTTCCTTCCTTCCTTCCTTCCTTCCTTCCTTCCTTCCTTCCTTCCTGCCTTCCTTCCTTCCTTCCTTCCTTCCTTCCTTCCTTCCTTCCTTCCTTCCTTCTTTCCTCCCTCCCTCCCTCCCTTCCTCCCTTCCTTCCTTCCTTCCTTCCTTCCTTCCTTCCTTCCTTCCTTCCTTCCTTCCTTCCTTCTTTCCTCCCTCCCTCCCTCCCTCCTCCCTCCCTCCCTCCCTCCTTCCTTCCTTCCTTCCTTCCTTCCTTCCTTCCTTCCTTCCTTCCTTCCTTCCTTCCTTCCTTCCTTCCTTCCTTCCTCTTTTCTTAATTCAGAACTTAAAAAAACCCCACCCAATAAAATATGCATTTCTAGGTACAAATTAGAACAGAAATAGAGGATTGACTATGAAACTGTGATTCTCTTTAACATATAGCTTCTTTTTCTTTTTAAGTAAATTTAACATGTAACTTTTAAAGCTGTCCTGCTCAAAATGTAACCTTAACTTTTGAAATTGTTCTGCTTGTTTCTGTTTCTTTCTGATTTTTCTTCTTTAAAAGAAGTTTCAATAATCCTCTTCCCCCCCCCTTTTTTAAAGCAACTCTATAATGTTTTGTAACCCTCAGATTCCCCAATGGGGAAAGAAAAAAAGAAAAGCAAAACTTTTATAACAAATATGCACATTCAAGCAAAACAAACTGTCAGATTTTCCATACCTTAATGTCTATCACCTTCCTGTCAGGAGGTGGGTATCATGCTTTCTCATTAGTCCTCTGAAATCATGGTTGTTCATTTAATTAATGAAAGTTCTTAAGTCTTTCAAAGTTGTTCTTCTTGGGGCAGGTAGGTGGCGCAGTGGATAGAGCATCAGCCCTGGAGTTGGGAGGACCTGAGTTCAAATGTGGCCTCAGACACTTGACACTTATTAGCTGTGTGACCCTGGGCAAGTCACTTAACCCCATTACCTAGCCCCCCCCCAAAAAAAAGTTGTTTTCTTTACATTATTGTTATCATTGTAGAAATTATTTTCTGGAAAAGAGGATCTTACAGTACCTTAAAGCTACATAGAAATCTAATTCAGGTGCTTGCTTTACAGATGAGAGATTACCTGATATTCCCAAGGTTAAAGATCTAGTTATTGGCAAATTGGCAAATTAGAATTCTGGGACCCAGCTCCCTGACTTGTAGTGTAGCTCTCTTCCTACCATTCTGAAACTTCAGAAATTTCCGTGCTGCTAATTCATGAATTCATTTTTTTCACTCACTCATTCACCCCAGGATCATAGGGACCTTAAAAGTAATTTCATTTTATAGAGGAGAATCTGAGCCCCACACAGATTAAGTAACTTGCTCTAAGTCACATGGGTAGTTAAGTTGCAGAGCCAAGAATGGAACCCACATTCTCTGACTCCAAATCCATCACTCTTTCTTCTGTCCCACAATGCCTTACTTTAAAAACACTTTGCTTCTTCTGAAGCACTTGAGGCTATTTTTGCAAAGCCAATCTCATAATTCATAGAAGTCCCACTTGAGCTTAATGGGAACCTTTATCACAAATTTGCATTTGAGAATAGGTCCAAATTATTTACTTGATGAATAATAGATAATTATATTCACCATTAAGTAGTAAAATTATGTTTTACTATTTAGTTAGTAAAATTATATTTACCATTAAATGGTATATCTTTGGGATATTAGCATGCAGAGTAAAAATGGGAAATAGATATGCAAACATTTTAATGATTTTGTCATTATATCAACATTTCCTATTGATGATCATCTAGTGGCATGATTCCTAATAGTGATGATTGGAGGCTGTTAGGTCAGTGATGAGAAGGTGTTTCATCAACCATTCATTCAATCACTTCACTGAGACTGAAGAGTGATCTGGTAGACAGAAATTGGCAATGCCATGGTACATTCTTACGAGCTCTGAAGTGGTAATCCCATTCAACATAACAGAATCTGGGCCTGATGTTCTTTCACTGTGAAGTATGCTCTGTGCTCTCCTAACATCAGCTGTGCTAGTCTCCCTCGAGGACCGTTGGGGAAATACCAGCTAGTCAGCTGAAATCATTTTTTAATGTGGTTATTGGTCAATCTCCAAGGCCTTTCTGTCTTGGTCTGTGTCCCTGTTATGACTCCGTATTAGGCCTATCTCTGGCATGCGCGACCATCCCTTGGCCAGTGGGGAATATCAGACCTCTTCTTCATTCTGTTCTGGGCAGTTAGATGAGTACATAAACCAATACATTTTGGTATACTAATTAACAGGATGTACGATGAGTTTAGGAAAGAGAAGCAGTGTGTAGCACATCATTTATCATCCCAAACAAGCAACACCCAGGCTTCAGTGCCAGAATGAGTAAGTGATTTGTCTTCCCTGAGATGGCTTGGACAGAGTGTCTTTGGAGTAGAGGTAAGGAATAACGGTGTGCAGGGGCCTTATCTCTATGACAAAGTGTGCATAGTAGTTTGAGGAAGCTGGTTGCTGAGAAGCAGAGACTTAAGCTGAAAGCAAGGTTCAAGGCATGAGTATTCCACTATCACACAGATAGTCAGTGGAGTCAGTGACATGTGTTCTCCACCACAGTACTAAAAAATCCAATAAGGCAATATTATGTATGCTCAATATACTTTTAAGTTTAATCTGTATTAATAATATTTTCTCCATCACTTTCTTAAGTCTAGGCAAACCTCCAAACAACAAATCAAACCTTGATTTGTAATATTTGCTGATTTACAAGGTGTAAGTGGGTAGCTAGGTGGTGTGGTAGATAGAGCTCCAGGCCTAGAGTCAGGAAGACCTGAGTTCAAATCTGGCCTCAGACACTTATTAGCTATGTAACCTCGGGCAAGTCACTTAACCCTGTCTGCCTCATTTTCCTCATCTGTAAAAAAAGATGGAGAAGGAAATGGCAAATGACTCCAGTATCTTTGCCAAGCAAACCCCAAATGGGGTCACAAAGTCAGACAAGACTGAAATGACTGAACAACAAATAACAAAGACATAAATGCTCACAGTGAAAATTTAACAGTTGTCTCTGTTGAGCCATCTAAGCTGGCTCTGGCACACCTCTCATAGGGACTCATGGTATAGCAGAGGGAGAATCAATTTGATTGTCTAATAACTGAACACACAGTGGGGTAGTGTGAAGGAAGCTAGTCTTATCTGGAAAATCCAGTTTTTAATCTGGCTTCTGACACATACTAGCTTTGTGACCCTGGACAAATCACTTAACCTCTCAGTGCTACTAGGCAATAAGTTGCTGATGAATTGCTCATCTGCACCAGTGGAGAGTTTTCATACTTGGAGCTCTTTGATGATTGTTTTTGAAAACCACTATTAGAACTGGAAAAACCTATGAATTACTTTGTCTTGTCCTTAATAAAACATTTCTGTTTAAATTAGATTAAAAAGAATGTTCCTAAAAAGAAAATGAAGTTCACATCGGTGGAGAGCCCAAAGGATGACAGCCAATATTTAAATATCTCCTGTTCATTTCAAGTAACTACACAATTTGAATATGAATTGCAGCAAGGACAAGCACTTATCACCTTTGAAGATGAACAAGGTATCATTAATGTTTTTAAAGAAAAATGTGAAAGTTAGTCAGTTAAAAATATTTTTAAGCAGTATGTGCCAACTGGGAATACAAAGGAGGGTAAAAACACAATCCCATCACTTAAGGTATGTAAATTCTAATGGAGACTCAACATGCAAAAAACTACATACATACAAGATGCTTGCAGAGTAGATGGGAGGTCACTTCCACGGGAAGGCACTGGAAGGGAGAATAAGGGGACACACAGAAGGTGGGATTTGAAAACTAAAGGCATTCTAGTAAAACCAGCATGTGTGTAATCAAGATACATACTATTGTTCCTTTAGCCCAGCTCTGAAGGCTTTGTAAAAGAAGAAAGTACCACTAGTGGTGGCCAAGGCAGTGGCAACTGAGATATAACAGTAACTGGGAAAAGAGAGTAGAGAGTAATAAAGATCTGACCAAGTCAAACAGGTTGTGTAGTGGGTAGAGCATTGGCTTGGAGTCACTAAGACCTGAGTTGAAATTCTATCTCAGACACTAGCTGGGTGACTCTAAATAGATCACATCTTAGTCAGCCTCAATTTCCTCATCTGTAAAGTGGGGATAATCATAACTTCTGTCCAATAAGGTTATTATAAGGATCACACATGCAAAGCAATTTGAAAACCTTAAAGCTATACATAAATGCTAGTAATAATAATAATAATAACAACAATAATTATTTTTAGCCATTAGAGATCTGGAAAGTGTAAGGGTTGTCTGGGAGCTGGGTCAGGTGTTTGTGCAACAGCCAGCAGTGGCTACTATGCTACCCCACCCTAACGTCCCACTCATCTGGGACTACTCTAAGTTCAAACATAACCAAACAGGAGTTGGCTCTGGCCAGTCAGTAGTGACATAAAATGAAGAAAAATGATCTCTGCCCAAGTGCAATGAAATACCAGATGTTTTATGAGAACATGGTATTACAAGAGTCTGACTTTACTATATTTTCCCTTTTGTTGTTCTTCCCTAGAGAAAAACAAATTAAAAATCCAAGTTATATTGACCAGGACATTAAGATAGAGGTGTTTCCTTTCCTCTTGATCCTTTCCCTCCCCTGCAGCTGCAGTAGGGATATCTAGTCATTAGACTGCTGTGAATTCTCCCTCCATTATTTATACCACAAAGAGTTAATTTGCTTCCTTGAATTCTGAATATAAATTTGGCCCCCAGACCTAAAACATAGGGTGGCTTAGGCATGAACTAATAGTGTGAACAATTGGGCATTCTTTCAGATTCAAGCTGCTACCTAGCTATTGTTTTTAGATGCTAATTCATCAATTAAAATTGATTAATTTTGGTAAGTTTATTGAATTAATCATGATTAATTTTTTTTTTTAGGTTAGGCAATGGAGTTAAGTGACTTGCCCAGGGTCTGACAGCTAGTAAGTGTTACATATCTGAGGCCAGATTTGAACTCAGGTCCTCCTGAATCCAGGGCCGCTTCTCCATCCACTGCGCCACCTAGCTGCCATAATCATGATTAATTTTTGATACATCCATTAAAAGCCTATTTGTTCATTTAAAAACTGCCAAATCGCTAGCTTCATTATTCAGATGATTTATTTTTCTCAGAGGCAGCAGGTTGGAGCAGTGGCTAGAACGCTGGACCTGGGAGCTTAGCTTCACTCCCAGACACTTCCTCCCTGTGTGCCCTTGGGCAAGTCATTTAAGATCTGTCAGAGTTTCCTCATCTATAAAGTGGGGATGATAACAGCATCTACTACACAGAGTTTTTGTGAGAATCAAATGAGATATTTGTGAGGCCCTTAGCACATTATCTAGTATGTAGTAGGTGTTTAATAAATGCTTGTTCCATTTCCTCTCTTTTTCCCTTCAAACTATTTGAAGAGAAAATCCAGGGTTGGTGGGCTAGAATGAAGAGGGAAAGCTGGTAGGTCAGTATGTCCCTAATTTATCTATGTTTAAAAATACACTTAAATTAAACTAAGTAGAGTTGCATCTACTGTTAAGTAGCCTTCGTGAAGCTTGGTGGGGTTGGGAGGAGATGTCCAGAATTTCTTTCTATAAGCATCACTGATTCTGTAGTATTCACAGAAGACTTATTGGAAGAATAGTTGTGGCCATCTACAGGAAATCTTGCTTTCAAGCTGAAAGTCAGACATTCTGTCTTATCTTTTATTTACTTTTTCTCTTAATGGTGTTTGGAGGCCAGTTAGAGGCATTTTAAAACAAAGAACTTAACTACATCCTCCAACCCAGAGAAAGTTAATATTTCAAGGACCTGTAATTTTGTCACAGATAGTCTCAGACAGGTAAAGCAATTTGCTGATGAGAACTAATGGTTGGGGCAGCTAGGTGGCGCAGTGGATAGAGCACCGGCCCTGGATTCGGGAGGACCTGAGTTCAAATCTTGCCTCAGACACATAACACTTACTAGCTGTGTGACCTTGGGCAAGTCACTTAACCCCATTGCCTAGCCAGAAAAAGAAAAAAAAAAGAGCAGTAATGGTGCGCACACCTGAGTTCATCCACCAGTCTTCTCCACACTCCCTGATGCAATGTGGCCTGGGCACATGCTTAGTCAGGACCCTGAGAGGCCTTTTATCTGTGGAGGAAACCTATGATGGGCTGGTTCTCTTAACAAACCCAAGGATGATACACAGTCAGTGACTTTGGGAGTACAGGTTATCTCAGGGAGAGTAGTTTTCTCAACTTAGGTACTAGTTACTGTCCTGAGAATGACCTTGACAAAAAGTACTGATAATCTAGAAATGTGTGTTTGTCTTTGGGGGAAGCTTTTTGCAAAAGCTATAGTTAAAAACAAACCACAACTTGTTCAATGTTTGGAATACAAATTTATGAGGCTTTGGAGCAGCTATACATCAAAGAAACCTATTAACCCTTAATATGCAAGCAAAAAAGGATTACAAGCAGTTCTCCTTAATTATAGAAGTTTCTTCTCTTTAGTAAAAGAGCCTCTCAAAATGAGGTTGCACTTGCAGGAACAGTATGTAATAATGTATAATCATGTAGCACTGCATTAACCATCATCACATTAGCAATGACATCAATAATGCCAGCTTAATCCAAAACTTACATTTCACTTTTATTACAGGTAGAAATACGTATATTTTTAGTAGCAACCGAAACTATGAAGTGGATTACAGCAGTCAAAATAAGGCACTGGCTAATGAAAAAAGGTCCCCTGCCCATGGTCACACACACAGCTAATATGTGTCAGAGATAGGACTTAAAACCCTGGTTTTTAATATTCCAAGTACAGGGCTGTAACCATTACACCACACTGTCTACCCCCTAAAAGTTAGGAACCACAAGTAGAACAGCTCGTGTCAGTTGGTGCCTAGAGATGGAGATGGTCTGTTACATCTATCTGAGAATGGCTCTGAGGAAGAAAATAGATTTAGGGAACTGTTCAACTTTTTGGCTCCTCTTGAATCAGTGGGAGAGTAGAAAGCATCGGCCTGGAAATCAGGAGATAGGGATTCTTTTCCTGGCTCTGCCACTTGTCCTGGGTAAGTCACCTCATTTTTCTAGGCCTCAGTTTTGTCTTCTGCAAAACAAAATGGTTTGTGTACACAATTTGCGTACATGATTTTTACACAATCCATCCCTAATATTTTATGGTGTTCAATGTAGCATTAGTATATCCAAATGTTGTGATGTCCTGGAAGACCAGATATATCCTTAATTCAAAGTAAAAAGGCATACCTCAAAGCTGAATACAATTAATACAATGGATACCTATGTCATTGTGTTCTTCCATTTGTGTGGATAATTAAGAGTTGAATACTTGTTATTTTATTATTTTTTTATAGAATTCAGATCTTTATCAGATTTCAGTTTCTTTTTTGCATTGGCAGAGTTAATTAATAAGTTTATTGGAGGAAATAGACTGACCATATGATTCCTTCTAGCCCCCCCACCCCCTCCATAAAATTAATTGCCTTTCTGTTGCCTCCAGAATCAGATATAATTTTCTGTTGTCCAAAGCCCTCCATAACCTGGACCCTTCCTCTATTTCCAGGCTCCTCATATCTTAGTTCCTCTCAGTATATTCTATTATCATAACTCCTTAGACAAGATCCTACATTTCCTGACTTCCTGCATTTTCACTTGCTATCCCCTAAGCCTGGAACTCTCTTCCTCTTCATCTCCCCTTCATGACTTTCCTGGTTTCCTTCAAGTCTCATCTAAAATCCCACCTTATGCAAGAAGTCTTTCCCAGTCCTTAATCTTAGTGCTTTCCCTCTGGGGTTATCTTCATTTTTTCCTGTATGTATCTTGTTTGTACATAGTTGTTTGCATGTTTTCTCTTCCCAATATATTATGAACTGCTTGAGGACAGAGGCTGTTTTCCCCTTTCTTTGTATTCCTCTTGTTTGGTGTAGTGCATGGCACATAGTTAGGTGCTTAATAAACGTTTGTTGACTTGACAATCGTTAACTAAACACCAAAGAAGGAATAGAGAGATAACAAAAGATAAAAGACAATTTCAATTTTACATGAAATTGAAAAGGTTTTGCATGAAGAAAATCAATACAACTTGGATAAAAAAAAAGAAATGGATGATTTTCATCACATATCTTTGATAAAGGCTTGATATCCCAGGTAGCAGTGGGGCCACTGTCCTCTTACCTGGGAACCCCAGTATAGCTATCTTAATTTTGAGGCATTCTGTGGATCTGCATCCACTCTGAACCACAGCTCACTATTCTTCTACAAATGTCTTTAACTTTTCTTCAACTACCTAGATGGCACAATTAGTTCTAAACAACATTTAATCAAATCAAATAGCATAGCAAGAAGATTTGCAATATAATATTTTTCTCATAAACCTAAGGTACACTTGCCAAAAGGCACATACCATCAATGGAGAGGGTGAGCAAGTGTAAGGATAACATTTCAAGGACATATAGGGAATGCCTATTTTCAGGGCTTGTGTATGGAAAGGCGGGGCACATGCATGGAGCAGCAAGGAATACTAATACTGCAAGGCCATGGATCTCTCTCACTGGGCATGCTTCCCACATGGTGTAGCCTCTTTTGGGTGTATTCTTTAACTAGGCTTATGGTGATTGCTGGGCAGATAATCTCTGTCCATCCCTGCTTGTTTTGTAGTAACTTCTGTAACATAGTCTCCACAGGTGATTGCTCTTTGCTGCTGGCTTCTGGGTTAATCTTTCCTTCAGGCCATCCAAGACTTGCCAGCTTCAGTCTGTTGAGACTAGTCCTTGGAAACCTTCCCTGAGAAGGACAGGATGACAACTCTTTAGTTATAGCCAACGCACCCAGGCAGACCTTCCCTAATCTAAGGAAGTCTTTTCAACCTCTCTAGGCTGAAATTAAGTCCCTCCATTCTAAGTAACTCTAATTTAGGGCTTCCCAAGATCCTTTCTGGTGTAGCATGCAAATGAAATTTGAACCAGAACCAAAAATAATGAAAGAAGCAAGGCCATTTTTCTCCTAGTCTACTTCTTGTTTTTATTGTACATATCTGTCAGCATCAAAGATTGATTTTTGGTGTTGTATTTTAGATAGCAAAAATTCTCAATCTTTCTACACCAAAATATATAGGGAATTAACACAAATATATATAAGATTGAGCCATATCTCAATAGGAATGAAGTCAAAGAATAGGAATAGTTCTTAAAAGGTTTGCTGCTTGGGGGAAGGATCATAGGGTAATAGATTTAGAGCTGGAAAGGACCCTAGAGGTCCTAGAATCCAGTCCCCCCAATTTATGAATGAGATAACTGAGCCTCATAAGAGTTGTGATATGCCAGGGTCATGAACTGGTAATTATATATGAGACAGAATTTGTACTTGGGCCTTCCCTTCTTCACTTTAATTCCAATACTCTATCCACTACACCATGGTTGGGGAGAGGGTGGGAAGGAAAGGGAGGTAGAGGCAAACTAAAAAATTAATATGATATATAAAAAAAGGCATCAAGAAAACAAAAGAATTCTGAATATAAACTTACTCATGTCACATCCTTAGTACTTCTGGACTTTGATTATGACTACCAATGTGGGTACTCCTTTCAATAGTTTGGATCAAAATCTATGCTTTATATATAATCCCTATGTGTGTAAACCCTATGTTTCATAAGAAAGAGTCATACATTGAGTGTAGTTTGTGAATTATGCCTAAATTATAAATACAATAATTTAAGAGAATCATCAGTTTCTTTAGATCTTTCAGCAAGAAAGAATTTCTACTTTGCCCAATTAGTGGAAATAATGTTGCATTGTTGGAAACAATAAAGAGTATGTGACAGCTTAGTAATGAACAGATGGGGTTTTTGAAGTTCTTCCAAACTTCTTAGTAAAAATAAATAAATAAATAATTTCAAACGGGACTAGAATTTTCTAAATGTAATCATTGCAAAAATATTTTAAAGGGAAATGAGTCCTAATCTAGTGTTAAAGTTTTTAAAGTTAAGAAATTATGATTTCACTGGGGAGAAGGCAAACTATTAGCAATCATATAAAAGAGTGTTCCAAATCACTAATAAGAGAAATGGAAATCAAAACAACCTTGAAGATTCATTTCACATGCAGCAAATCAGCAAAAATGATGAAAGATGAGAATAGTGACTTTTGGAGGAAGTATGGGAAGGCAGACAGGCACACTAATATATTGTCAGTGGAGTTGTGAATTAGTATATCCATTCTGGAAAGCGTTTGAAATTAGGCAAATAAAGTGACTAAAATGTCCATACCCAGTCTCCCAGATATTTCACTACTAGTATGTACCCCAAGTAGCTAACTGACAAAAGGAAAGGCTCTACATAAATAAAAATATTTATAACAACACTGCTTGTGATAACAAAGAATTGTAAAGAAGAAGGAAATTTAGGTGATGTAAAAACAAAAATGTCAATAAAATCCATTTCAAAACAAAACAAAAAAATTACAACATCTCAGAATGATCCATTAAGAATTGGAAGATTCTCAGAAGCCATCTTGTGCAACCGCCTTGTTTTACAGGTGAAGAAAGTGAGGTGAATTGACTTGTCGCAGGTTACACAGGTAAGTAAGTGGCAGAGATAACATGTGAACGTGGGTTCTCTGGCTCTGGATCCAGATACAAGATAGGTTCTTGTATCAAAATTATACCCCAAAACATTGAAAGATAGGAGTTTAATGTTTTTCAAATTTCTTTTCAGTTGCACAGAATGTGATAAAAAGAGGGAAACATCTTGTAGAGCTTGAGAATGAGAAGGTGAAATTGACAGCCAAAGCTGTCCCACTAAAAACAGGTCTAAGTCTTCAGGTAAATGAATTAGTGTTTCTAAGAAATCTGTGAATCCCAGGAATATTTCTTGTCTTCCATGTGTATAGATTAAAATGCAAAGGTGGGAGGTTGAATGGATGAGGAGGCTGAACTCTGAGATTCCATGAATTTCTAAGATTCTCCAAAGTATGACCATCATTCACTTTATCAAGAAGCTTCAGTAGTTCCCAAGAGTCTATAGGGAAAAATACAAATTCCTCTGTTTGACATTTAAAGTATTTCACAATCTGGATCCAGTCTATACTTTCAGGTTAATAACACTTTACTCACTAACTAATAAATACATAAGCAAGCAAGTAAATGAACAAATACATCCTTTCCTTCAATCAGTACTTTTGAACATCAGTACTTTCCTCCAATCAGAACACCTCCTAGCAGCACTCATCCATCTTCCTTCATTCAGCTATTCTTGGCTGCTCAGCTGGAAGCAGATTCTCTTCTCTTTTTCTTCTGCTCTGCTTCAAGCTATACTGCTTATGTTTCTTCTCTCTCCTCTCTTGGCTTCTGTCTTCTTTGTTTCTTTGGTCTCTGACTGGGCTACTAATTGACTCCTTCATCAAAATAGTGATTCTTTGTGTTAAATAATTACTTTAGGTTGACAAACCAAAATGAACATTTCTGTTATATACCCCACAGATAGGTAACGTACAATTGTTTCATGCTTCCAGAAAAATTCTAGTTTTCTGAGTTTCCTAGCTGTCAATCCTAAAGTTCATGCAATAATCTTATACATATAAAGGAACTGCTGAGAAAGAAGACACTTTGTTTTTGCCATCAGTAAGTCCTTTTTCTGAGGGGTTGCTTTCTCCTAGGTCCTTTCAGAGCTGTCTTTGTTTCTGTCTAAATACTGAGGCACTGCTTTTGTCAGTATTTTTAGACAAATTTTCTTTTTCCCCCCCTTCCCTTTTCAATAAATAAAAATAACCAAAAGAAGAAAGGGGCACCGTTTTCCACATGCATTCTAAATTCTAGCCAAATCGAGCCATTTTCTCTTGCTTGTACATGGAATTAAATTTTCCTCTTTTTCTTTACACAAACTGTCATGAATAACTGGATTACCATCTCACCTCTACCTCTCAGAACCCTTCTTTTCTTTCAAGGCTACACTAAGATGCTACCTCCTCCTGGAGGCCTTTCTTGATTACCCTAGCTTTTATTCTCTTCTTCCTTACCACGTTGCACCCCCCCCCCCGAAATTGCTTTGTATTTATTTTGAATATATCCTTCATTTACTTATTTTGGTACATATCGTATCCTTCTGGTAGAATATAAATTGCTCCTTGAGGGAAAGGGCTGTCTCCTTTTTATTTCTGTGTCACCAGTACTTGGAACATAGCAGACACCTAATGAATGCTTATTAGTTGATTGAAAGAAACAATTTCCACCTCCAGGTTAACACAAAGATTTCTAAGAAAAAGATTGACGTTGCTGAAATACCTGATGTGTTATCTGAAGAACAGATGAGAGACAAATTGGCACTGTGTTTCAGTAAATCCCATTATGGAGGTGGAGAAGTAGAACATGTGGAATATCATAAAAATTCCCGAACAGCTGTTATTACATTCCTTAAGAATGGAGGTATGTATAGTTAGAGTCATTTGGATAGTTCAAAATGATTGTTTCTTTTTCAGGATGCCTCCGTCTCTGAAAAAAAATTTCCTCGTATCCCTTTAATTTAGGATTTATTAATCTAAACATCGGAGCCAGCTTGGTATCATGGAGAGAGGATTTGCCTTGCAATCAGAAAGATCTAGGCCTCTAACACAGACTAGCTGTGTGGGTATGTGATTACAGGAGTTACTAAACAATTCAGTGCCCTCGGATAGCTTTCAAAGGGAGTAGTTTATGAGAGCTTGCCAATCTGTATGTGTGTAGAGTTTACCAACAAGCTTGAAAGTATAAGTAGGCCAAAGAAAAAATGTCTTTTGAATTTGTCTTCCTTAGCATAATAATAGAGCTTTAAAATAATCACTCCAGGAGAAGCAGGATGGTACAATGGAAATTGTAATTGGATTTCTAGGATCCAGATTGAAATCCTGGGTCTGCCACTTACTTGCTGTATGACCTTTCAAAAACTGTTTTGCTCTTCATTTTTAGAATGAGCGAATTGGACTATTTGACTTTTAAGAGTCTCTTCTAGTCCTAGACATGTGATCAGAGGTAATGAGACAAAGATTAAAAGTTTTTAATGGTGCTGTATGTCCAATATGCAGATCTGTTACCCAATCTGGACTACTTTTACTTTAACAGTTTGGATGATAGAAATTCTTTATCCAAAATCTATCCATGTGTGTAGTTAGACTAAATTTTTTGTGTTACTATAGATCTCATTTAGGATGCCCATCAGTGTTCTTAGGGTCTGATATAATCAGCACAATGGCATCCACAAATAGGAGGATCCAGAAGATTTCACTAGAATTCCTTTTCGATTTGGAATCCAAGCTCAACTTCCCCCATGACAGTGGCAAATGTATTTGTTGAACATGTCTTCCTGTTTTATGCCTCAATTGATAGTCAGGAGGTCCCTGAACAAAATGATCTCTTTTGTTACGCCTTTAAAGAAATCTCATATGTGCATGGAAGACATGTTGGGGAAGAATCTTCAAGGTAGCATTTTGCTCTACCAGTAGTCTGTGGATAGTAAACACAGTTGGATCTTTTATTCTCCATACCTTTTCATTAGTGTGACTTGGTGTTACAGACTGAATTTGGAATTTCTTTTGTGTAAACTGGCTTATTCCTTTCTCATATCTTATTTCAAGGATGTACTTAATATGTTTGTTATTGTCATTGTTATATTATTATTATCATTAATTATAATAATGTAATATTATAATCGTAAGATTAATCTCGTGAGGACTTTGTAGATGGAAAAGAAGAAATGTGGGTCTATAGTTATTGATATTTTTGACTGCTATTTTTGTTTTTTTCTTTAAGAATTTAGTATGTTTTGAATCAATTATAAGATCGTTTAGATAATTTAGTTTTAGAGGTAGAAGACAACTTAGAGATCATCAAGTCTAACCCCCTCATTTTACAGATAAGGAAACTGAGTGAGGCCCAGAGAGATTAAATTATTTACTCAGGGTCACACAGCTAGTAAGTCTGGAGTGGGTCTTCCTGACTCTTAAGTTCAAAGCTTTGCCCACTACATTATAGTGACTCATGATTGTTTCAAAACTGGGTTGTTTTAGCGTGGATTTCCTCTTGGTCTAGTCTGGTTGCTTTTGTCGTTTTTGTTTTCTTTTATGCCATCTCTACTTATTCATGTAGCATATCAGTGCCTATGATATTAGGTCTAATTGTCATAGTATCACTGTCATTGATGGAGAAAAGAGTTTTTTATAGAAATCATAATAGATCTTTTCCATTTTATATTAACTTGTTATCTTTCCAGTTTCATTCTTCAATGTTCAGGGTTTGGGGAGGGTGGGGAAGTGATCTGTTGTAACTGAGGCTCTTGCCAAGCTGCCTCCGGACTTGATTCTTCTTGCTGCTCTACCACCTTCCTCAATGAGGCATTTCAAATGAGTTGATTTCTAAATTAATATTGTCTTATCTTTTCACGTGGCAAAGAGATATGTGTTTGCCAGCTAACACTCTTTTGTTCACCTCAGTGAAAACTTTCTTAGCAGATATTGGTGTGTTGAATGCTCTTACTTTATACATTTTCCGTTTTTTGGCTTCAAAAATTTGTTTAAATGGCATATCATATTTAATTCTCATTTTTCTTCTTCTAATTTATTGTTGATTTTAATCCTTGCTTTAACCAGCCAATGGTCTGACTGTATAGAGGAGGATGATTTAGAAATTACTTCTACAGAGATAGCCAGTTATTTCCTGCTTGTGAGGGCAATAAATTTCTTTTTTTGGGGGTGATGTTGCTTAGTGTTCCTGATTACTGTCTTAAAGAAAATATTCAAGATATATGAGATTTCTGTACAATCTATAAGATTTTGGTTTTTCCAATTTCTTCCTCCAGAACCATATCTTAAAATGCATTTTTCTCACTTTTGTCTTTTCTTAAATTTTGAATATCAAACTATATTCTAATTTAATTTGGGGGTCTTGTTGAGTTTTTTGTTGCATTTCTCCTGAGTCCTCTTCTGTAGGAAGTATTGGCCCATAGACTACAATTATCTTGTGGTGGTCTTTTTAAAAATGTTTTTTTATGAGCACTGAAATGTGATCTGACTAAGTGTCTCATGAAATCGCATGAGTTTATCATTAGCGGGCACAAGATAAAGCCACTCATCCTTCTCTTCCAAGAAACGCCTGTGAGCTGTCCTTTCATTTATGCTGAGAATGTCAGGAATGATACGATTGAATTCTTTCAGCAGTGTGTCAGATTGTTGGTTGGCTACTTGGGAGGGTTCAAACATTTAGTTAATGTAGTGTTTATAGATAGTCTCAGAGCTTTTGTAAAGCATGCTCTCTTTTCCTTTTTGGCCATTCTGAGATTGTCCCTGCAAAAGCAAAAGGCAGGGAAGGGAGGAGACCCACAAGATGGAAAATCATTTCTTATTTTTCTTTGTTTCCCCTATGTTGCTATGGCCAAGAATTCTTCAAGAACCCAGGGTCACCTCTTAGGCCTATTTAGGTGAGACATTGTTGAAGACCTTACACATAGTAGGTTCTTGATTAATGCTTGTCGAATTGAATTGAGTTACTTATTCTTTGAAATTTCCATGATATTATCTTTTCTCTTCCTTCTCATTTACCTCCAGTGAAATAGGTACTTTATTAATTTTTGAAATATATTTCATTTCCTTATGAACTTGACAAACCAATAAACGTGAAATTTCTTATTTAAAGAACAGAAAAAGAGAATTACATGTGTTACTATCAATATGTATTCCATCTTATTTTTTAAAGTAAATATTAAACTTAACATGATGGGAAGCATGCTACTTACCGCCTGACATAATGTTGATGGACTCAGGGTGCAAACTGAGACATGTAGTTTTTGGACATGGCCAATGAAGGTGTTTGTTTGGCTTGGCTATGCTTTTTTGTTTTCTTTCTTTTTTCCCTAATGGAAATTAATATGGTAGTTCCAATACTGCTCTGCTTGTGTTTGCTTCTCAGCTTCTTTCTCCTGTCATCTGTGTTTTCTTAATGTTTCATTGATGCTCTTTCCTTTCTTTTTTTCCCCTTGTTTTTATATCACTTAATTACTCTCCATCTGTTCCTCCTCCCCCCTCCGAATAAATAAAAGCCCTCCCTTGTAACAAATAAGTATAGTCAAGCAAAATAAATTCATGAATTGGCCGTGCCTGGAAATGTATGTCTCCTTCTGAACCTCCCTGCCAAGACATTGTCAGGTACTTCAAAATGATAACAAACTTCTAAAACTTAAACTATTTTGAATAATTTTTTTAGAATAAGTTTAATATTTTTGTGTAAATAACTTTTGCATCTGATCAAGAAAAACCTTTTAAAATTATTTTCTAGTTGCTGATAATATTCTCAAGCACAAGGAATATCCTCTTTATACAAGTACTAACTCCTATCAAATTGTTCATGTTTCCCCACATGTGGAAAAACAAATAGAAAAGCTGCAGGTAAGAAAATCTTAAAAAACCACCACCAGCAAATAAACAATACCACATTTTGAATAACCAGGTAGTAGCACTCTAAATCTTATCAATGGTACATAGCTCTATCTGGTCAAGGTTTTGACATTTCTTTAAGACTTTAAGTCCTTTAAAACGAATTTAAGTTTTAAAATCCTTTATCATATTGATCATCATATTAGGAAATAAATTAAGGCTTATTTTTCTTTCTTGAATTATTCAGGAAATTTTACCAGTATTCACTTCACTAAATGGGACATGGGTTACATTTTTTAGCTTTACTTAGTGTTGTGGACTTAGACAAATCACCTAAATTCAATATTAATTTTCTCATCTTTAAAATGGGGGGATTATAATACTTGCCCCACCCACCTCACAGCATTGTGAGGCTCAAATGTGATAATGGACATGAAATACCTCATAACCATAAAGTGCTATGTTAAGTTGTGATTGTTATAATGATGATGATAATAATACTTTTTCTTACATATTATACTACAGATAGGGCTCAGAAATCATCTTTCTACTAGCTATTGATCAGGATTTATTTTTAAAGCACGACTTTTACTAGAGTGATAGTAAACTTCTTTGAAGGTCAGAAACCAAATCATATATGTCATCTTCTATATAAATGAGATGTGACATATTAAGAGGGATAGTGACTAAGCCTGTAGTTCCATCATTATGGGGAACTCTTGGTTGAGGGAACTCCTACTGATGCAGGTTGGCATCTTCTCTGCAACATAGATCCCCACAGAATTTCACAGAGCCTTGAGAGGTTGTGATTTGCCAAAGGTCACATAGCTAGGCTGTGTTGAAGGCAGAATTTGAACCCAGGCCTTCCTGGCTGCAGACTATCTCTCTTCACTCTGACATGCTGCCTCTTTATGTTGCTATTTGGGAAAAATTACCTCTGTACTAGGTATTAGAAATTATAATTAAGATCTTTTCTGAACATACTTTTCAATGCATAGTGGCTACTCTTTAAAGACCTATCAAAAGGCCATTTGATGCAAAACTAATAGCAGTCAGTGGAAAGGGCAAAAATGGGCAAAAATTTCATTACCATTTTGTTCCCAGGTAATTATTTCATTTCCTACTTAATAACATACGTGTGCTTTTATATGATTGTATCATTAAGTCATAAAAATTAAGAGAAAAAGAGAGTTATCTTATTAGGAAATGGCCTTATTTACTGAGACCATGTAGTCAATGTCTTCTTAAAAGAATTTGATCACAGACATGAAAAATCTGCTCTCCTAGTAAAAGAAAGTGAGCCATCATTTTTATAGAGTGCATGATTCAGAGTGAATTGTGGTAGGAAAATTGGAAATCAAATGCAAGTTAATCATAGAAGTATGTTTTTCCTTGAAAACCTGTATGGACTATAAAAGGATCATATAGTAGTATCTCAAAGGTGTTTTGCTTTTTTTCCTAGGTATTTTCAGGAATTTCTAAGAGGACTGTCCTTCTGATGGGACTTAAAAATATTCAAGAAGATGAAGAAAGTATAGAAGATGAAATTCATATTCATTTTCAGAAAGGGTCAAATGGGGGAGGGGATGTAGAAGTTGTTAAATGCGCCCTCAAAAAACCTGAAATAGTATATTTTGAGGCTGATCTAGATCAAGGGTGTTTAACCTGGGGATCATAAGCTTGTTCAAATTTTTTTTGATAACTATATTTCAATATAATTGATTTCTTTTGCAATCCTATGCACTTTGTGCATTTAATAACATTATTCTGAAGAGTCCATAGACTTTACCAGACTGCCAAAGGGGTCTTGTAATCCCCACACACAAAAAAGGTTAAGAATTCTTGATTCCTGAGTGAGCCATATAAGAAATTACAGGAGCTGGACACAAACTTTGTGCTATAAATGCTTACATTGCTTTGAAGTTCTTTTCTTAAAAACAACAAAAAATAACTTTTTACTTTTTAGTTTCCACTTGCTCTTATAATAAAAAATGTATTCCTTTTGTTTTTTTATTCTAACTTGGTTCCAAAGATGTTGAATACTTCAGAGCTCTGATCAGTACAATGCTAAACCACAATTCCAGATCATGGAAGATGAAGCATAGTATTTACCACCTATCAGAGAGGTGATGGGCTCAAAATCCAGAATGATACATACATTTCTGGACATGGCCAATTTGGGAATTTGTTTTGCTTTATTGTAATGCTTGTTTGCATATTTGCTATGAACTTTTTTTTCCTTTCTCTTTTTTTCCCCTCAAATAGGGAAGAGGCAGTTTGGAGGGAGGGAAAATAAATGCTTGTTAATTGAAAAAGATTAAATTAGATTTTCTGAAAGATGTTGAATAAAAGGTCCTCATTAAATATCACTCAAATTAAATGACTGAATAATGCTTGGCATGTGGGAATATTCCTGATAATGGATAATCTGGGATGGGGAGGGCCCATTGAGTCCTTGAGGGGAATGGTTTAGAAAGGAATGGGATGGTGACTTTGTTACTCAACTATTCTAGAATGTTAATTCAAAGCTTTATTTTCACTTATTGTGATTTTATTCTTCTAGATTCCTCTAAATGTTACCTTAAATCATCTTGAGAGAGACATATCAGAGCACATAGGAGTTTGGTCTTTTCTCCAAGCTAGAAATACTTGATGTTAATATTAAGTTAAAATTATTTCTAGCAGACTCATGCCTAAAATGCAGAATATAGTATTAACTTTGTTCTTAAATGGTTAAATGATATTATGATTCAGATTCTGATGACTAATAGGAAACCAGCACAGGCTTCTATTCAAAAGACTGCCATAGCTAACTAAACAGAGGTGAGGGAGCTTTTAAATCCTTAGAGATAGTTTTTATTTTTTGGAGCAGAGCTGCATTATCATTGATTTCTGAATAAGCTCATGGAGTCTGCCTGAGAAAAAGGCCACATTTGTCAGATATGGCTATTTGTGCATGTCTGTATTGGTAGCCACCTTCTGTATCATATATGGTAAGCTTTTGTTAACTTTGTCTTAGCATTGGCTGGCCAGCCTATTTATTACCTGAGATTAGTGGCCTGGTTCATGAACAAAAGTTTTATTGTGCCAGCCACACTGGGAATTCCAGAATCCTGTGGCTCACTTTCCAGGGACTCCCAATTAGGTAAAAGTGGTAAGTTTGGTATTTTTTTCAATGGTGGCTTCTTGTAGTGTCTATCAATGTATACTGTAGTTAGAGATATAAAGGCCTAAGGACTAATTAATCTTGAAATCATAAGATTCCCCCCCCCCCAAATGGGTATGTAACCACAAAATCACTGAGATCCCTCTGAAAGTATTTGATCTCTCTTGCTTAAGGGATTCTGTTTGTCATTTTGGAGTGCTTGACCAAAACTGGTCTGCGAACTTATGTGGCTGGTATGAAGATTAGCAGATTCTCAGCAATGAGGCTGGAGATGCTTCTGTGCTCAGAAAAACAGACTGGGCTCCTTGTTAAAGGGGTGGGGTAGACTCAGGCTTCTGTTGAGTAGTGAGCTTTGAGAACGAGGCAACTAAGAGGAGTTAAGATGGTTGAGTAAGAGGAAGCAGTACAGGCCAGCTCCCCATTAAAACTCCTCCACAAAGATCTAGAAAACACACCAGACTGCATTGTGATTAGGAGGGTTAAAAAAAGTCACAGTAAGTCATTTTCAAAGCTTAGAGCAGCTTAGAGGACACAGAGAGGTTTATGGACAGTGGAGACAGGGTCTGGCAAGAAGCACACAAGCAGAGCATTCCAGGGCTCAGGGCCTGAAAGAAGGCTGATCCTGGGCACTAGAGGATCAAGCATAAGGGTAGAAGGAGATTCTAAGGGATCCCTGAACTAGCAGGAATATGTACATCTAGCAGTTCAGTTGCCCATTCATTATTTAGTCCCAGGTCACAGATCCATGGCAGACAGGGACAGTCATGAGTGTGAATCCTCAGTGTGTACTGAGCAAAGAACAAGCCCCAAAACAAGGGGGCCATGAATTTCAGTCCCTGAACCTGCAGCGCCTCCCAGCAGGCTGATAGTGGCTGAGTCCAGCATCCTCCTCCTGAAATTCCCAACCAGAGATAAGCTGAAGGACCCAAACCTGGGTCAGGACCTTGTAGAGCTTAGCACAGGAAGGCTATGCTGAACCTCACCATCTTTCACATCTCATCACTTTGGGAGTGCTCAAAGCTTGCATGCCCCCAGCCTAAGCTGTGAAAACATTAGTAGATTGTAAGAGGGCAGAAGCCCTGGTCAGACACCCCTCCTTCCTCAAAATAACACAAAGTTCAAAGTCAAGAAGTAGGCTGGAAGAATGAGCAAGCAAAAAAAGGATCCCATCATAAAGAGCTATTATAGTGACAGAGAAGCTCAAGACAAACCCAGAGAAAGAACATTACTCAAAAACATCTATAAACAAAGTCTCTGTGAAAAATGCAGTATGGACACAAGTCAAATAAGAATTTCTACAAGAGTTAAAGTAAGTTTAAGAAAAAAGGTTAAAAATGGTTTTAAAAACCAAATGAGAGTGGTAGAGAAAAAATGGGGAAATAAATGAAAGCAAGGGAGAGAAATACATTAAAAGATAATTAACAGCTTAAAACAAGAGGTACAAAAGCTTACCAAAGAAAATAACTTTTTGAAAATCAGAATTGACCAAATATAAACTAATGACTCCACAAGACATCAAAAAGGAACAATACAAAGTGAAAAAAAATAAAAGAAAATGTACCTTTATAGGAAAAACAACTGATTTGGAAACGGATCTGAGGTGGTATCATTTAAGAGTCATTGGACTCCCTGAAAGCCATGAACAAAAAAGACCCTAGATATCATCTTTTAAGAAATCATAAAAGAAAGCTGTCCAGATATCTTAGAAGCAGAGGGCAAATGGAAAGAATCCAATGGCCACTTTCTGAAAGACACCTGAAAGCAAAAACTTCTTGGAATGTTATAGCCCAAATCCAAAGCTCTAGGTCAAGAATAAATACTGCAACAGCCAAAAAGAAATAATTCAAGTAATAAGGAGCCACAGTTAGGATCACACATGATTCAACTTTACATTCTTATATGGAAAGATGATACATATAGTTCCCTCAGAACTCTATCATCATCCGAGATCATAGACAGATTACACTATGCATTTGCAAGTTCCTAAGAAAGAAAGCAAATTTGAAGCGCTTTGTAGGATAAAATGTGAAACCATCTGTAAACCTGAAAGTAAAGCCCTGATCACCTAAATCAAAGTTTTGCAATGAATTTAACATATATTGTGCTAATTTTCAAAAGGCAGGTTTGATAAGAGGAAAAAAACTGGATCTGAACATTGGAAAGAGATGAAACATGACTTGAAAGTAGAGAGGTACAAGGTTAAGAAATTAAGGGTTTTAGAAATACACACAAAGTCAAACATTGACTCAGTATAAAGACAAATGCAATCTGTAATTTGCAATGATCAGTTTGGTATTATTGGTCAGTAGCTAAAATCTTAAAAAAAAAGAAATTTAGATAATTTGCATGGACACAGTGTAAACATGAAGTTCAATTAAAAAGCAGTGAGAAGTAATATGAAAGTGCTCTTAAAAATAAAAAAAATCTATAATGAAACTACATGAGTGGGTTCAATTTTTGGCTCCCCAGCATCAGGAAAATAGAGCTAATGACTCTTCACTTAAACAGGGACCATACACTTCCTCTTTGCCGGTGTCGAGGATTTCCAGCATGGGCCAACTTAGAAAAAAAGGCAGAAAAAAAGAAAATCCTAGTGTTGTAGAAAAGTTTTAGGAAGTTTTAGATGTCATTGAGAGAAGAGGTGAAGAACAAAATGGAGACATTGACATGCTTCCTAAACTATGAACTCCACCTGAGGAAATGCTTGTTTCCTCCTCAGGGAGTTAGAGCTAGTTTTAATGTTTCTTATTGTTTCCAAACTTAATTTCACAAATTCTAATATTCTGATGAATGTGGAAAAGTAGCCAGAATTTTATAGCAATTAAAAATTGGATTTACATTGGGCTTGATAAGTTAATTGAGAAAAATTGTACTTCACAGCATAGTTGATCAGTATTCCGAATGGTGGCCGCCTTGTAGTTGACAACTACAAAAGTGCTAATTACTGGTTTCTGAACAAGTATAGAATGTGAGAACTGGTAGATGAATGGAATGGATCTTCTATGTTGCTGACTTGGAGATACATTCTACTAGGTTAATGTTCTCTGGTAATAAGTTTTGTTTTATATATTGTGTTTGAAGTGTATGAGATCCATGAGATTGTTTTATGTTAGTACTGTGTTTATAAGTTTGCACTGTCATTTTGGAAATCATTTTATGAAAGTTCTGTTGAATTTGGAATGATGTATCTAGTATCTGTTTTTTGTTTTGCTTAGGAAACAAGAGACACATAAAAACACTCATGTAAGTGAAGCAAAACAAATTCTCACATTGGCCATATCTAAAAAATGTTTGTCTCAGTCTTCACCTTGAGTCTATTACCTCCCTCTCAGGAGGTGGATCCCACGTTTGGACTCTTCACCATAGTTCTTTTGGAATTGTTGATCACTGAGTTGATCAGAGTTCTGAAGTCTTTTAAAGTTGTTTGTCTTTACAGCGTTGCTGTTATTGTATAAATTGTTCTCCTGGTTGTATTCATTCCGCCTTACATCAGTTCAATCTTCCCAGGTTTCTTGTCTTTAAAAATTTTTTAAGTTAAATTATTTTTGAAGACTGGATCTGTCTCTCCCTAACTGGAAGGCTATTCAGGTG